TGCTCTTGTATGGACTGTTTGACTTTATGCTGTATAAACTGGACATGCAGGACCCACAGAAAAGTGACTGCTGATTCAAGATGGGCATTGCTACAGAGTTCCTGCTTCATGGAAGAGTCTGCCAGACAGTCTGCAGGACACAGAAAAAAGTGACTGACAAACTGCCAATACAAGAAGACAATTTAAAGTTTCCTGCTTTGCTGAAGAGTCTGCCAGACACACTATGGCCTATGGGCTGAAGATGGAAGATTACAGAAGAACTTCAGGTGACTGACAAAGGCAAGATGTCTCTGTCATTTCTAGAGTTTATATATTATCCTTCTGTGGTCTTTGAAGGAGTTAAAGACAGATAGTTATGGTTATAGTTTTCCTTAGTTAAGCTTAAAGATAAGTTACATATAGGACTTTAGACTCACAAATATAGGATAGATAATAAAATAGTTTTTTAATCTTGCTAAATGTTAATGAACTAAATATTGTTAACTGTGATTCTTATTTGATAACTGTTATGTGATATATTTTGCTATGTTAAGGTTAAAACCCTTCTTTTTATTTTAGACAGAAAAGAGATGATGGGAGATGTCATTCTGTATATGTTTCTCATACTGGTTAATAAATAAAGCACTGTTGGCCAATAGAAAGCTAGATAGGAGGGACTAGGAGACAAGGAGGAAATAGGAAGTAGTAAGGAGGAGCCAAGATGGAGAGTCCGGAGAAAGCAGTATGCTGGCCGGCTCCCCGGTAAGAGAAATACATAGATCAGCAGAAATGGGTTAATACTTAAGATAGAGCTAGCCGATAAGAAACTAGTACCTGGCCAACAGGATTATATCAAATACAGAGTCTCTGTGCGTTATTTGGGGCTGGCACAGCGGCAGGACAAGACCAGCGGTGGGCGAAAAAACCATACTCCATTACACACACACACACACACACACACATTAGGAGATCCTGGAAAACTAAAAGAAGTCACCTAAAAATCAAATCATTTTTGGACTTCCCACTGAGAATGGGTAAGATTCCCCAATAACCCACCTTAGAACACATTTTCATTAAATCTAGCACAATTTAGTACAATACAGCTTCAAGCAGAATGTTGGTCCTTACGGTTCATGCTGTTTCAGCCTCTGAAACATTTATTAATATTATGTGCATTTATTATCCATCTGATCCCCAGTCTTTAGGGAGGTCTCCATTCTACATCTGATCTGAGCAAGATCTGGAAATGGTCTACCATGAGTCCATGGTGAAGTAACAGGGAGACTCATACTCCCTACTAATGGGAAGTGCCTAATTTAAAAGTGCACAGGTCAACAATAAAATCTGAAGTTGATCGACTCTCTTACTTCAAATAATGAGTTCTTCAAGTGTATGAGCTTTACTGTGTGCGCACATGCACAATGGTCTGTGTATGTGGTCAAAGACAACTTGCAGCGGTCAGGTCTGCCACTGGGCCATCTTGTAAGTCCTTGATTAAATACCGCTAAGTGCCAACCTTCTACAGTCAATAACCATGACACGTGACTTCCTTTCCAAGCCAGACTTTTCCTGCTGACTTCTGGGCAAGCTGATACTGATGACAGAATTAAAAAGAGAGCACTCTTTTTCAGATTTTATCTGTAGTAATGCTCCTGTGAGATAATATAAAGTACTGTTGGTGATTTATTAAAAATTTAGTTCATGTAATAAATTATACAATTTATTTTTAAACAGTCTATACCGAAATATTTCTAGAAGTGTTTCTCCCTTTTGGTAATATTCAGGTGTGCATCATAGTCTCGTAGCCCTACCCCAGTTACTCACTCAACTCAGCCTTTCCTACCTTTCTCCCAAAGCTCTCAGCTCTTGCTGGCACCACTTGGGAACAAAAAAAGATGGTATAAATACAATCTGCAGAATATTAGCTGGAAAATTACAAAGACACATTAATTAGCTGTAAAATCATCATCTTATGTCACATAGACCGTGAGGGCATAATGAAAGTAAAACGTAAGGCGATTTACTAAAGGAGGCAGCGAGTCAGACCTAAGGACCAAGGCTGTCTGAGGAGCAGAACCAACAGACAGGCAAGGAAACACCCAGCACCTGTCTGGGCGACCCCTATCACGTACACACATGCACACACGCGTGCACACATGAATGCCCGCGAGTGTGCACACACACCTGTTCCTAGCATAGCCAATTGGTTCTTATCAAATTATTGAGATTGTGAAATTTCTAAAATTAACCAACTTCTGTGCATATAAAACTGGGTATTTTTCAACTCAATGTAAGGTCAATTTCACCAATGTAAAACACCAACCCATTTTGGGCTTGGCAGAAATTAGTGCATCTTAAATTTCTAGGCAAAGCAAACCTGATTTTGTAAGTACCACATATACATATATATATATTTAATTTTTTTTCTGAGAACAATATGAGATTCATGAATGTCTTTCAAAGCTATTTTCAAATGTTAGTCACCTACTTCATAGAAAAGATGTAAAATCGAACTTGTCGGGAGGAGGCACTAATTCAGTATTATCAGGGGTTTAAAAGGTAAGCACAATTGCATAATGCATAATTACGGGCTGGGACACGCTAGAAAAAAATTAATTTAAATCATATTTTAATTTACCATTTGTATACCAAGGGCCTATTGGTGGGGCAGAACTGTTTACATAGCTCATCTTGCATAACTTGGTTTAACTGTTAGCAGAAGCCAAAGGGAAGCTTGTCCCCTATCAGACAGCGAAATGCCCCAGCAGACTCTTTCTCCCCTGTGGTGTGAGTAAGCCAAATCAGTGATGGAACATTCTGTGATTCAGCAGACTAGTCCAGCCCAACCACTTTAAAGACGCCTTACTCACAAAAGGAGCTGGGCCAGGAGGACCGTGGTGGTGTCTGAGGCAACGCCTGTCCCTCACTGCCACAGCCTGACGGCACCAGAGGCAGACCATGACGCAGTGTGAATCAACGGGAGGGAATTAGGTAAGCTATACGGCGCTGAGGGAGAAGGCAAATCTGGTGACTAAGATCTAGTCTACCCTTTTAAAAAACAGTTCTGTGACCCTAGGGTCAAGCTTGGAGCGGAGGGGGGAGGACAGCTGGAATTTAAAACTACTTAAAAAGGAAAGGGTTAATAAGCAAGCTGCAGCAGATTTTATGCACCAGGAATAAATGTTATACCATATCTATCATTCACATGTGGGCTCAAGTGATTTATCTTCAATTGGAATTATTATCCATTCAGCAGCTGAAGCCAAGAACTGCTGATACTCGGCAGATGAGGAAGCATCTTCAGTCTCTGGACGCTGGCCTTTCTTGAGCAAAATGATGACCACACAATATAGATCACTTGTTCTAGAAAAACATTTTGGCCCGATGCGTAGGAAGCTGCGCCGTCAGCGTTCCCATCGGAGGCATGGCCTGACCCTCGGGCTCCTTGGAGACTGGGCTTCCGTAGCTTTATGAGGTCTACAGAGCAGTGCCGCATCCACCACGAAAACAGCACACACCTTTTCAATCCAGGATTTACTGCCGTCTAACGAGTCACGGCCCACAGAGTGTAGAATACATTCAGGGATCACTTAGGTATCTGGAAGTGAGCTCTTTATCTCCAGCCAGCCAGCCTTGACTTCCATGGGCATCAGTGGCTCCCACTGCCCAATTTACACACTCAGCATCTGGCTGGACTCACCGTTACAAACCCTCTAAGATCATAGATCATGCCCAAGAAAGACCCCTCTTCACACACAGCACAAGCAGTGGAGCCTTGAGGTCAGTGCACTTGGCCCTTTGTTTGAAAAGTATGTTTCAGGAGACGCTGATGAGTGCTTCACTTCAGAAAACTGGCCTCTTAGAAAAGCAGGCCAACCTTTACTAGAGGAACCCTCTTCCAGCATAATGCACTATGAGCAAATCTACAAAGGCATTTCCCCAAATCATTTCCCCGTGGACCTTCCCCGTGAGTGTGTCTTGGGTGGAATGATGCTGCACAGAGCTGGTCTGAGAGGCAGCTTTGACATCGGGCGTTGTCAAGAGGCTGCACTAATCCCTCAGTCTGCTTTTCATTTCAGATTAACAAAAGTCACTGTCAGAGCATCGGGCTCTGGAACTCTCTCTCTCTCTCTCACACACACACACACACACACAACACATACACACACAACACACACACACACACACCACTGCAAACCTACATATTCCCTTTCTGCCTGTATATAAAACAGAGCTTGCAGGACTGTTTAATTATATATAAAACAGAGCTTGCATCCCTGAGCCCCCTGGCAAGCACATGTCGTGAAGGTGTCTGAGCACACTACCTCGGGGAACTAGCAGTTCATAGAGGCTGCTTAAAGCCAAGACAATGGGACAGTTTTCAGTTGCCCGATGGACACGAGCAGGTTCTGTATGAAACAATTTATAACCACCTGTGTAGTCCTAGCGGTTATGGCTGTCTCTATGCAGTGGACTTGGTGACAGTCCCAGAGCTGCTTTTGGAATGCAGTCACACGTCACTGAGATATGATCTACAATGTATAATGTGGACAGCATGACATCATACGTAACAAGAGAGCCACCGTGTCACCAGGTGCTGTGTGTCACGGGGCCACTGACTCCCACGCAGCCTGTCACCAATAATGACGCCGGCGGGCAGCGCACGGACGAGGCGCTGCCCACAGCAAGTACCGAGGGGCTCACGCCCCGACCCACACCACTGCTGACAACTGGGAGAATCCTTTTGTGGAAAGCATGTGTTGGGCAACAGGTAACACGTTGAGCAAAACTGCTGGCTTCTACCATTTACCAGCTTCACTTTGGGACTGTATGGTGCTTATATAAAATCAAACCACGCTGCCCTTAGGTTTACATTAAGCATACGCCCTGGCTCTGCTTCCTTGAGGAATCCCTTTTATGAGCACAGAGCAGCTAAACAAACATCTAGTATTTAGCAGCACCAGAAACATCTTTCTCAATTCCATGTGATCAGAAACAAAAGAAATCTTTGAATGCCAGAGAATGGTTAAGAAGAACTCTGTATTTCAGTAAGAATTACATGTAACTTTACAGCTTATATCAGTAAGAATCATCTGAATTGTGTTACTTAACTAACATAACAATCAGAAAACATTCACTGTAATTGCATGTTATAACCTGTTAAGAATCATAAGGACTGAGGTATTAATCTACGGATAAAAACAGCAATCACCAGCAGCTAACCTCAGACCAGTCTCTTCCTTGAGAGAACATTCGCTATAAAATTCTCAATTCAAAAACTTTACATATATCCTTTAAAGTGCTTGTACGAAGTGTGGCAGAAAGAAACAGTATTATGAAGAAGGCCGCTGGTCCTTGTCACCAAGCACACTGTCCAGTTTCAAAGCCATTTCCTCAATGTCCACACCTCCAGCTCTGCTGTAATCATCGACTTCAGACGGGACACTTGCTTTACTTTGTTCTTTTCTTACTGTGTTTAAGCACTTCTCGAGTCTCTTTATGAACAAGTCCACATCCTGTGTCTTCATCCCGATGGCGGCTGCCGCATTGAGGTACGCACAAGGGTAGTTATCTGTGTGGGACATGAAGCCTTGGAAAGTGTGGCCACTCACAGTTTGCACAGACCCAACAGGCACTGCCCTGAAAGGGAAAAGATTTATCAACCCAGTGTGTCTGGTGATGTTATGAGATGCCACCCGGAAACAAGGCACCCACCTCACTAAGCCATATAACCACTGATTGAGAAGCTGAGAAACAACATAAACCATGACCCATGCAAACGAACAGTCAGCTGAAAATGAGATTGTAAAATATGACTGAAAAGCCCTGCCTAGTGATGGCTGCTTCTATAATAGGGAGCAAGAAGCTCAAGGAATATTTACCTCTTCTTCACAGAAGTGGTAAGTGGTAAGAAATCTAGTTTTGTGCCAAATCTAGAATCTGAATCAACTGTGTAAGCCAAACTGCTTTGTTTACTGTTGTCTCACCATCAACAAACAATTCCAATCATGAATTAGCACTATGTAATGAAAGGGCTCACAGTGAGACCTAGAAACTATGTAACTGCTTCAATGGGTGGAGGTCAGCAGCCAACAGCCACCAACAGCAAATGCATTATTTAAGGGTGACTTCCACAGCACCCGTAGACACAAGCAGATTGTTGCTGATCTTCTACTTTTTAAGAAACCAATTAAAGGCCAGAGGTGGTAGCCCACACCTTTACTCCCAGCTCTCAGGAGGCAGAGGCAAGCAGATCTCTGTGAGTTGGAGGTCAGCCTGGTCTACAGAGTGAGTTCCAGGACAGCCAGGAATATTATGCAGAGAAACCCTGTCTCAACACACACACACACACACACACACACACACACACACACACACACACGAAAAGAAGGGAGGGAGGGAGGGAGGGAGAGAGGGAGGAAGAAAGAAAGGAAGGAAGGGGAGAAGGAAGGAAGGAGGGAAGGAAGGAACCAATCAAGGTCAACAATCCACATATAAAGACAAATGGTGGCCTCTTACAAACCCTTTTTAAAAGCATCAAAATTGTGCAGCATACAGACAGTTTCTCAAGTTAAAAGCTGAATTGACCTAAGATTTACTTTCCTTTGAACAAGATGTCATTTAGCCAGCTGTGGTTACACAGGAAGAGACAGGAGGATCCTGAGCCAGCCAGAGTATATGCAAGACACTAGATCAAACAACACAAGGGTGGCTCAGTGGTTAAGAGCTCATACTCTTCTTGCACAAGACCCAGAGGATCCAAATTCCACTGCTGTAACCCCATCAGCTAGCTCACAACCTGCCTATGACTCCAGCTCCTCAAAGCCCGAACAAAAACCAAGTCCTTTAACACAGGCATTCTATCCTCTGCAAATATGGTGGTTTGAATAAGAATGGTCCCACAGGCTCGTATGTCTGAATGCTTGTCATCAGAGAGTGATACTTAGAAGGATTAGGAGGTGTGGTCTTGCTGGAGTGGGTGTGGCCTTGTAGGAGGAAGTGTGTGCATGGGGTGGGTTTTTGAGGCTTCAGAAGCCCAAGCCAGGCCCCGTGTCTCTCCCTTCCTGCTGCCTGTAGATCCAGATGTAGAGCTCTCTGCTCCTTCTCCAGCACCGCGTCTGCCTGCACGCCACCGTGCTGAAAATGGACTAAACCTCTGAAGCTATAAGCAAGCCCAAATTAAATGCTTTGCTTTCTAAAAATTGTCATGGCCATAGTGTCTCTTCACAGCAATAGAACACTGACTGAGTCAGCTAATCAGAGTAAAATGCTTTTATAGAGATGTAATGAAAGCATTTGGAGCAAGATATATCATTCTCCTCTAATGTGAAATAGCTGATTTTGATGCCCACGTACACGTGGGGAAAGCACGCTTCTCAGAAAGGCACAATTCTCTTAGTTCAGGGTTCTAATTAATTTTTATGGTCAACCTAACACAATCTAAAGTCAACTGGAAGAGGAAACCTCAGGTCAGGTGGGCTCATATGTGGGTTATTACCATGACTGCTAATTAACGTACGAGGGCCCAGCTCACTGTGGGCAGTATTATCCCCAGGCAGGTGGTCCCGAACTATTTAAGAAAGCTAGCTGAACATAAGGGAATGAACAAGGCAGAAAGCATCTTTCCTCTATGGTTCCTACTTCAGTTCCTGCCTGAGTTGCTACCCTGACTTCACTCGATGATGGTCTATGACCTAGAGTACAAGCTAAATCAACACGTTCCTTCCCAATTTGCTTTTAGTCAGTGTTTTAATCACAGCAACAGAGATCTAACTAGAACAATCAGAGTACAGTGTTTCCTTAGCCAGCTTTCCACCTGAAAGCGATAGCAAAGACGACTTATTTCTATCCTACTATTATAACATGACAGTTCTGAAGATCGTCTAAGAAAGAATTGGACAAAAATCTACACAGAAGCTGGGCCTTGCAAGATAGGAGGCTTGCAAGTTCTAGGCCTGGCTAGGCCATATACAAAGTTCAAGTTCAGCCTAGACAACTCAGTGAGACACTGAAAAGAAAGAGCTGGGGATGTGTCGGTGGGTAGGTGTTCACCACGCATGCCTTGCTGGGGATGCATCCGTGGTTAGGTGCTTACCACGCATGCCTTGGGGCCTAGGTTCAAGCCCTAGAACTGCAGCAGCAAAATCAGCAGCTGCAATGACTCCTCACCCACACAGGTACTGTGAGCAGAGTCCCGATTGGGGAGGTAGCAGCCTCACAGGTCTGCTACCTCCCTGCTCTTTGGCCACAGCGGAAGTCTCAGGCACAGCTCAGCACACAATGAAGGACTACGGATGAGAAGTCCTTGATTAAATTTTTTTATTTTAAAGAAAAGCCAACATAAGCACTTTCATTTTAATAAAACCTGAAACTCATTAAGTGGTGTGAGTGAGACTAAGGACTCAGATAAAAGAATATTTATCTCACCAAATCACCACGCAGCACAGAAAAGACAAGAAAAGTTGAAGAAGGAAAAGCCAAGAAAGTGGAATCTGCAGAGAGGTGAGCAACAAACCCAGGGGTACTAAGGCCTAACTGACAGCATCGTCGTCGTGGACAACTCTGTCTCCAGGCTGTCATTTGCTGCCATGAACGTAAACAGTGCCTTCCATTTGGACTTTCAAGTTCTTAGGACTCAGGAAGCGAAGCTTAGAAGGTATTAAGATTACAGTAGTCTTGAAAATCCACTAGGAAAACCAGAGGATGAAACCAAAACAGGTCACAAAAGCTGCAGATGTCCCTGCTGGCTGAGAACAGACACATACTGTGCCTCGAGGTGACAGCAAAAGCAATAAACTCATCTCTTCGATCTACTTACCTGGCTCCTGAAACTTGTCTGGTAAAAAGCATTGAGCCAAGCTGAGTGACAGCTCTGTCATGCTGTCCATCTAATGTCCTAAGTGTCATTGCTAGGAGAAAACAAAAGCAAGAACAACTCAACAAGCTTTTGGATTACAAAGACCACCAAAGACAAATAAAGATTAAGACACTACTTTCACCCATAACATAACAGCACTTCATGTACTCAATAAACTATAACAAGGACTGTTTCCACACAAACAATGCTAAGCAAACATGTTCACAAATCACGGACAAAATTTCCATATATCACCATGATCAATGGAGCTGCTAAATGAATCCAACTAAGCTCTAAGAACTTAAGCAATATGCATGCATTATATGTGTATCTCGGTACATATATGCCCAAGATCATACACAAATGTACAACTGTCCCTCTGAGACCTCATGCTTTCCAAGCTAGACACTATACAAGCACTGCTGTAAAACACCGGCTGGTTTTATGTCAACTTGACACAAGCTAGACTCGTCAGAGAGGAAGAAGCCTCAATTGAGGACATGCTTCCATGAGATCCAGATATAAGGCGTTTTCTCATTCAGTGATCAATGACGGAGGGCCCAGCCCATAGTGGGTGGTGCCATCCCTGGGCTGCTGGTCCTGGTTTCTATAAGGTGGGCTGAGCAAGGCATGGAAAGCAAGCCAGTAAGCAGCTCCTGCCTCCAGGATCCTGCCCTGTTTGAGTTCCTGTCCTGACTTTCTTCAGTGACAAACAGCAATTCTCAAGTGTAAGCCAAAAAAAAAAAAAAAAAAAATTCCTTTCTCCTCAACTTGCTTTTTTGGCCATGGTGTTTCATTGCAGTAATAGAAGAAACCCTAAGACAACCATTCGTAAGGAATTGCATGAAAGATTATAATCTCTATTTTAGAGATAGGGAAAAGGGATTGGCGGCTAAAGCATGGTAGAACTCATATTACCAACATGCTATATGGGCAAAGGATTAGGGACTTTGTACCAGGGTATTGGTGCCCACATAGGTCCTCCATGAATGCACATTCCAAAAAAGGCTTCAGTTATAAATGATTCCTTTTCCTCAACTAGATGAGAAGTATAAAACATATTCTACGTCACATATTCACAAACTAATTACGAAGCATTTAAATACTGAAGTATGTAAAGGTCAATTATTCACTTTTAAAAAATGCTTTTTTATTTGCCTGTTTGTGGGCATGTGCATGTATGTTTGCGTGCTTCAGAAGCCAAAACACCGTGTTAGGTTCCCTAGAGTTCAAGGCAGCTGTGAGCTGACCTCTTCATAGCTGGGACTGAACTCAAATCCTCTGGAAGAGCAGTAAGTATTCTTAACCGGGTATCTCTCCTTATTCACTTCAATAATCCCTGAAGTACTTAACAGAACTTAGTCCTTGTATCAGCAGATCAGCTCATGATACAGTTCTTCCTAACACACAGAGGCTGAGGAAAATAAGCACAGGCACCAAAAACACTATGATGGTGCTTCGTTAACTGAGAAAATTTTCATTATAAGATGCAAGCCCTAAATTACTGCCTGTATATTCATTCTGTTTACTATTGACTGATTCCTTCACTAGATAGGTTTTACTTAGAAAAAACTAAAGCATTTCTAAAGGCTAAGTAAACCTGAAGCTATCAATTAAAACTGGGGTGGATTTAGAAATATCCACATCATAGACCTGAACAAGGGGGAGCTCATGAACTCCAGTCTGATAGCTGGGAAAGCAGCATAGGACCCACTCAGACCCTCAGAACGTGGGTGTCAGTTAGGAGGACTGGGCAGTCTGTGGGCCTCTGGTAGTGGATCAGTATTTATCCCTAGTATACGAATGGACTTTGGAAGCCCATTCCACATAGAGGGATGCTCCCTCAGCCTAGACACATGGGGGAGGGCTCCAAATGATAAGACAGACTTTGAAGATCCCCATAGAAGGCCTCACCCTCCCTGGAGAGCAGAAAGGGGATGGGATGGGGACTGGTGGGGGGAACAGGGGGGGAGGGGAGGGAGAGGGAACTGGGATTGACATGTAAAACAAGCTTGTTTCAAATTAAAAAAAAAAATCATAAAAAAAGAAAGAATAGCATAATTAAAACAAGTCCACCATTTCTATAAATGACAACTTGCACCTGAGGGTATCTCAGAAATACTTTGTTTTATCAAGGAAGAAAATTACCTAAAGATATAGGGTTGTGAGGTGTCTGTAGCAGTCTCTCACTGTGGGCCTCTGCCAGCTTCTTCAGTTGAGTGGACAAATATACAAACATTTCCTGAAATAAAAATACCACATTTAAAAGTCAAATAAACACAACTCAACCTTGATAGAAGCTGACTGGTATGAAATGTATGCTATTTACCATCTCCCATGTAAGAGACTGCAAACAGCAGGCCGGAGGAAGGGCAGCTCAGCCCATTTCTAGTCTATGATACATCCCATCTTTGCAGAATGTTCATAGTTGATTCTTCAGAAGAGTTATTTTTTGTTTGTTTATTTGTTTTGTTTGGTTTTTGTTTTTGAAGACAGGGTTTCTCTGTATTGATTTGGAGCCTGTCCTGGAACTTGCTCTGCAGACCAGGCTGGCTTCAAACACACAGAAACCCATCTGCCTCTGCCTCCCCAGTGCTGAGGTTAAAGGCGTTGCCCCCACCACCTGGCTCTTCAGCATTATTTTGATGGGAAAGGCAGCATATTGTTATGTTGCCCAAGGTAGAGGTGACCTTCTGGTCCTCCAGTCTAAACTTCCCAAGTATGGGATTAAGTATACACTGACACGTCTGGAAGACGTGTCCATTTCTGGACACAACATCAGCACAACAGATGACTTCCTTCCAACTCTGCAGCCAGCTGCACTGTTCTACAGAGGTCCTTCCATACCATAATTAGTTCCCATCCTTCTCAGATGACCTCCTCCAGTAACCACTAAAAAAATCTCTTCGGTCCATTTAGTATGCAAGTTACACAGTAAGTGGAGGAAGTTTAGAAAGTATACTGCCTTGTGTTTGCTTTATGTGTTGAAACCTGGTCTCATCATGAAGCCTAGACTGCCCTTCTGAGTGCTGGGATTATAGATTCATGTCTCTACCTACAGCCAGAATTCAGTTTTAACTGTAACTAACATAAGGAGAGATATCTTTGTTATAAAGATAATCCCGAGGCAACTAAATCTCAAATATCATTAGTGTTAAAGTAACTCAATTTTTAAAAATTATTTTCAAATGCAGTTCATATTGAACAAATATTTCAGATTCTTTACTGAATGTAGACAGATGTTGTAACAGGTAAGCTAATACCACAAGTGCAATGTAGCAAACCTTACCCAGGCCATGTATTAGAGTACTAAATGTCCTATTACTGTCACCATGCTTTAAAGCCATCTTCCAGAAGATCGTGTGGCAATCCTACAGTAACACTGAGCTACTAAATGTCCTATTACTGTCGCCATGCTTTAAAGCCATCTTCCAGAAGATCGTGTGGCAATCCTACAGTAACACTGAGCTACTAAATGTCCTATTACTGTCACCATGCTTTAAAGCCATCTTCCAGAAGATTGTGTGGCAATCCTACAGTAACACTGAGCTACTAAATGTCCTATTACTGTCACCATGCTTTAAAGCCATCTTCCAGAAGATTGTGTGGCAATCCTACAGTAACACTGAGCTACTAAATGTCCTATTACTGTCACCATGCTTTAAAGCCATCTTCCAGAAGGTCGTGTGGCAACCCTACAGTAACACTGAGCTACTAAATGTCCTATTACTGTCACCATGCTTTAAAGCCATCTTCCAGAAGGTCGTGTGGCAATCCTACAGTAACACTGAGCTACTAAATGTCCTATTACTATCGCCATGCTTTAAAGCCATCTTCCAGAAGATCGTGTGGCAACCCTACAGTAACACTGAGCTCAGCAGGTTTCAGCTGACACAAAAAGGTGCTACAGAGCTTGTACTATTTTCTGCTACAGTTGAATCTATAACTGACATTTATTATAAAACACTTCTGTAATGGGAGAAATTTATAAGCAGCCCAAGAAAATGTGTATAGAAAGATCTTACAAGAAATGAAATAATATTGATTTTCTGTGTCCTTTGTGCTGTATTTAACTTAATTTTAAAAGACTCTCACTACAGATAAACGGAACCGTATACCTGAATGCTAATGTCAGCTATATTTCTAGAATAAAAATACAAAACCTTATACTTTTAATGAAAAAGAGCTGAATTATATCAAGCATTATCTTTTGTATGGTCTTTGGATTACAGAGTGATCTTCAGTCAAGAAACCCAACATCCAGACCATCCCTCACGAGAATGCAGATGTACACAGTTCATCAAACTTCCAAGAAAATGTCTTAGGCTATGTCTGTGAAAGGTGCTGTCAAGTGATGGGATAGGAGAAAACTGCGTTCCATGTCTGTCTCAGAAGGTAAAGAACCAAAGCACGAATACATACACAGCCACACACAGATGCCCACAGCTGAAGATCATGGTACTAATGGATACATAGATACCCACACACAGATGCCCACAGCTGAAGATCATGGTACTAATGGATACATACATACATATCCCCACACACAGATGTCCACAGCTGAAGACCATGGTACTAATGGATACATACATAGCCACACACACAGATGTCTGCAGCTGAAGATCATGGTACTAATGGATACATACATAGCCACACACACAGATGTCCCCAGCTGAAGATCATGATACTAAATATTGTGGTCTCCACTGTGGCTGCCACAAAGGGCCTACACACATTCAGCGAGGCTTGCCTCAGTGGCAAAAACACTGCTTTCAAGAAGCCGAGACCTCACATCTAGGCCCCAAATCGGACATTGACAAGAGATTCAAGAATTCCACTTTTAGGGCACAAATGTACTACTTCTTCCAAATTTAGCTCTGTTATAAGCACTGACAAATCTAGTGATCCTCTAGAACGTGGTTTGTCCTTTAAGCTTCAGCTCACAAGTTCTAGCCCGGGTCAGCCGTTCTAAACATCCCTCTTCTGTACCCGTCCAATCCAGCAGACGCTTGCCACAGTAAATGACGGTCCACCACCCCTGTCAGCAAAGTATTCTTCTACAGGGAGAGCTGGGCAGAATAACGGGCTTCTGTGAATTCAAGGCAGAAAAGAGGACAAGCTCCTAAGGCTGATCTTTCTTTTTGCATAAAAATCTCAAAGAAAACAGCCTCTTGTATTTTAGCCTCTCTTCTTCAATGGCCCTTCGTCTAACTCCTGGCCATTCTTCCCGCCACGAAGCAGATGCACTGATCAGGATGGGTTAGGGCAAAGAGGCTCAGTTCACATACAAAGTTCCACTCTCTGACCCTTTCACCCTTCAAAAGGCAAAGCTTGAGAAAGGGAACGGCTTCAAGCTGAGCTCTTGTCTGCCTCTCCATGACAAAGGTAAACCCTTCTCTGAAGAGATATAGCTCGGAGAAATAACCTCTAAAAATACCATTGTGGGGAATAAGGGCACAGAATAAAAAGAAATCCCAAGTTCTCCTTTAACACTCCTTTTTTTAGCTCACAGAACAGCAATAACATAAAAAGGCGCTCTCAATGATGGTTTATAAATAGCTCTGGCTGGCACAAAATAGCTTTGCCTCAGCTTCTGCACAGCTGAGGCAATAAACTACCGTGATGAACGTTCACAGCACAGAGAAGTCCATTTAGACATTAAAAAAAAAAAAGGCTTCATTTCTGCACCAAATCCAATAATAATAATAAAAAGGAGTATATAAGCTACATATACACAATTGTCATTATGGAGAACATCCACATTTCCACAGGAAGACCTACTGTGTGAAGACATTAAACAACAATTTCTTCACATGCAACATCTGGGTTCTCAGACCAGTACTTTAGTATTCTGTAAATTACTCCATTAGACATCCTTTGTTCTAAGTAATTCCATACAAAGAATTTTAAATAAGATCAATTAGTGCATTTGAGAGCCTCTGGGGTTTTAAATCCCTCCACTAGGTAGAATGGGAGGGCCACTGGATCAATCATCATCTTTAGGGCTCAAATGCCTAGCAAGAAGGACCGATCACTCCCTCGGTGCTGTATCAGTAACTGCAAACATGAGAAGACAGTGGTAAAACCCAACACACACAGGAGCCTGAGCAGCAATTCTGGGACTTGAAAGCGGCCAGCCAGTGCTTGCGCCAGGTCATCTTCTCATATCCCAATTTCACATGCAAACTGGACACAATCCCTACTGAGCCTGATGGACACTACATCAAAGAATGGATACAATGAACCAGAGAGGGCCAGTGACATGGCTGCACAGGCCGAGCAAGCCTGACCACCCGAGAATCCACAGTGGAAGTTCCCTGGAACTCACAGTGGGAGAGAGAACCAACTCCCGCCCCACAAGCATGAACCCACCACCTTAGGATCATGATGATGTGAATAAGGCTTCTCTAAAGACTTGTCTTCCCTGAGCCATAACAATATGTAATAGTGACTACTTTCATGAGCGAATAAAACTATAGTTTTATCCTTACCATATAAAAGTTTGTTGTCTGGGTTAGCAAAGTACAATTTATACATGGTAAAACTTCAAGTGTCCACTTTTCAAATGTTCACATCTCTGAATTTTAACAAACATACACAGCCACAAAGCCACGTCAACTAAAGACATGACTGTAAGACACCTCATCCCCCCCCCAACCTCCAGAACCCACCTGTTTTCTGTGCCTGTCTTCTACCTCTCCCAAGGTGACATTGATGAAACCACATGAGTCTTGTGAGTCGGGGTTCAGTTGTTACCACTTGCTCTTGTGTTACATTTGTTGTGTATCTGTAGTTGGATCTGTCTACTGCTAAGGACAGATGCACCAGTGTGTCCCCCGTCCATCAGATAGATGAAGGATACTTGCTTCTGGTTTGGGCAATTATGAACTGATTCATTATAAGCATTTACCTACAGTCTTTTATACAAACTCAAGCTTTTATTCTCTCAAGCAAACAACTAGAAGCAGATGAGCTGATCTGTGTATGCAGGTTCCACAGCTGCGCTGCATTTTATGTTCTCATCAGCAGTCTTAAGAGTTCCGACTGCTTCAGATCTTTGACTGGATTCAGGGCTGTCTGGTTTCTGGTGTATTAGTTTTGTTTTTGTTATTGCACTAGCCACTTGTGGTAAGTATGTAATGGTTGCTCACTGCAGTTTTAATTTGCATTTCTCTAATGAATGATCATGCAAATCTTAAGGAACATCCTTACAATTTAAAAAGTAAACAACTACTTTTCCATGGATTAATAGGGAAAGGAAGATTGGAGTAAAATGCCACAAAAATGTTAAACATCAAATCTATTTGAGGAGTAAAACTGTTAAGTCCATGCTTCAACATATGTGAAGTACACCAAAGGGTTACAATCGCTAGTTGGTGCCATTAGGCTAATATAAACACAGATGCCAGAGCTGGGGCTTCTAAGTATTCCTTGACTGGAGAAGGGTACTCTTTAATCTGACCCGACCCATCAACAATTACAGAACTGTCCCAAATGAAGCTTTCTGTTAGTTTGTTTTAAAAGATTGTATCTCACTACGTTGGCCAAAATTCCTGGGCTCCTAGTGATCCATCCTTCTGTCTCGGCTTCCTGAGTGGCAGGAACTAACTACTACAGGCCCACACCACCAAGCTTGTCCCTTTTCCCCCACAGCCAACATAAGTAATGAATCCAACATTTCAAAAATGATGGAGAGATTGATTATTCTAGTATAAGAAGGCGTCCGACTCCTATAGCTTACATCTAGACTAACCCTTCACACCACAACAAGCCTTCAGGCTTCCAAATCACTCCAACGAAAACTTTCCCATTAGTCTTTAAAGAGCCTCTGTGCAGAAGTGGTGATGGGTGCCTACAGCCCAACACTTAGGATACAGAGGCACGAGGACTGCCCAGTGGTTGAGGCCTGCCTTGTCGACATAAGCAAGCTCCAGGACAGTTGGGGCCACACAAGACCCTGTGCCGGGAAGACTGCGATGTAGGGAGAAGGCACGCAAGGCAGCTCCTCTTACTGCACCTGACCTGAGTGCAACCCCGCTCCCACGGACTGTCTCGACCTCCACATGCCACAGCACAGGACACGAGCGAGCACACAAACAAGTGTAAAAGGAAATCACTTAGTAAACACCAGTCACATAAAAAGGAAAGCCCCGCTACATTTAGGTGATAAATGAACAAATAATTCCCAATACAGACGTTTCTGAATTATAGCTGCTAATAGTGAAATAATGCACCTGAGTGATTCTTCAGCGTATCTGGACACAGGGTGGTTAGCTTCTATAGGACAGTTGGAGATGAGGAGCGCAGCAGCAGCTCCTATGAGTAGTGCACGGGTAAACAGCGGCACTCTCAAAGAGCAGACTCACCTTTCTCTCCTTTAACAGGCTCTTGTAGCCACTGCAGCCCAGGGACAACAAGGTGATGAGGACGTCTAAGGACGGCGAAGCTGAAGCTCTCCCTGAAAACAGACGGGCAGGACACGTGAGGGAGGACTGATGGGGAAGGTTCTGGAAATGAGTTCAGCACAGCAGGCTGTGTGTGCGCGCACGCACTTTTGTCTGTTAGTCATTCCCACTTACCTGGGTACATCTTGCTGATTTCCTGAATGAAGGAGTCATCGAAGCCAGCAATTATAGCGCCACCCACTGGAACCATGAAATTTTTGTCCAAGCTCTGAACGAAAACGTCGATTCTACCAACCCGAGCCCCCTAGAATCAAGTAACACGTGAGTCACATGTTGGTCACAAGGACAGGCAACAACTGCCGTTAACAAGCAAAGGTCACAGCAAAAATGATGTTGTACACAACGATACATACCATTTAATTTCCCTCCTACATTTACAAAGGCTAATTTTACATTCATTAAAAAGGGAGAATGATTACCCTAGGACAGTGCATAGATCCTTCTTAAAAAGCAGGGGAAGGGTGGCAACCTTGTTTGTGGCAGTGCAGCCCAGGTTTACACAGCTGAACCCCAGCTTGGGCTGGGTGCCCACACCCAGCAGTGTGCTGGGCTTTCACAGACCAACCACCCAACTCACCTCCATGAGGCAGGAGGGGTTTGATTGCCAGTGCAAGAGGCAAGCCCTCTGAAACAGCTTTCTACCTTACAGCTGAGGAAGAGACAGAGCATCCCTCCCTCCACGCCCCACACCTGTGACTTTTATCTGACAAGGCCTATGGTGATTAAACGGTTTTAAATACTAGCATCACAAGCTAACATACTACAGCTGCCCACAATGCCAGGAACTTAGTGCCTCTCTCCGGTGCTTGGGACAGTCTGCTATCTTCTTTCTGTTTTAGGCTTGTCTGTCTGTGCTATAGTGCTGGAGACTGCCCACAGCAGCTCCAAGCTCTGATCACAAAAGACAAAAGCCCAACCTTACGTTTATCATCATTCAATGGCAATTTCATCTGCATATTCCGGGCAGCACCAAAATCGATGCTTCTCCATAACGTGTGACCCTTGATGTTGTGATATCTTAGATGCTCTCATTCCACTGCAAATGAACTCCAAATGGAAGTCTAATACCCCAGCACAGAGCCGAACACAGACCTACAAGAAATGTGGAACCAAGTTCCGCTTCCCAGCCGACACACTATGACCTTCTGTCTAATGTGCTGCAATTTTCTCCTCTTAAAAAATGGAGATACCATCTAAATTTTAACTCAGAGTTTTTTTCTTTATCTGCAGCCACAGATTCTCAATCTGTATTCACAATCGACATTTCCATTAATATTATAGCCACATCTGACCTTCATTTTCACCCTTACTCGGCACTTTGGTATCTCAGGGAGAGTGGAGATCACAGATAGCTGGCCTAATCTGACAGACCACAGGTAGAGGCGAGGCGGCAGAGGCTGCAAGGGGGCAGACTACTCAGAGAGCGTCACCCGACTGTCTCTGCCTTACCCTTGCCATGATCCTCATTTCCTAACAAACTGTGAAGAGAAACCCACCTACCTCAGGAGGAGGGAGCAGCGTAAACACCAACAGAATAAATGATGGAAAGCACAGCGAGTGGTTTGGTGAAACGCTGCCTCAGCCTTCTGAGAGGAGCCTGAACCTCATCAGGAGCGGGGAGAGGAGCGGGGAGGCTGGGAAGGAGGGGTCAGGGCTCCAGAGTGCTACACCCGGCCTCTCCCCAGCAGACCACACACGCCACTGCAAGAAAACCCTACATCTCAGGGCTGCCCAAGGGCTGCAGGCCCACACTAACAAAGCTGCTACTAAGAGGGAAATGGAGAAACCTTGCAGGGCGGAGACTGATGGGGAATAGGAACTCAAAAACTACTGAATGCAGTAACAGTCAGGCATGTGGCTAGGGAGCAGCAACACTCGCTGCTGCAATTGTTAGTAACTGAAGTTACTGCTTCCCACACTGTGAACAGCACACTCCACTTTAAACGGCCGATCCCACACACACATTTTATAGCTCTACTATGTACCTCTCTATTAATCACTCCTAACAATCAAATGAGGCATTTCGGTCAACAGAACCAGAAGTGTCTTCTTCAGACCTCGTGTACGCAACAGAGTATCTCGTGTACTCAGAACCAAGTCATTCTGGAGCCTTTTGAAAATGCTAAGACCTTTCAATGATAACTGTTTTCTTCACTACTTATGACTACCGTGATACTGCTTTCTCGGGACTTGTGGTTTTAATGTATTGTATTTTCGGGAAATGTGGAGCCCTGATGTCAGGCTGCTACACAAGCTATTCTGAAGCTGTAAGACCTCGCTCAGGCCAATCACGTAAACCACTGAGCGCATTTCCTCATATACAAACAAGAACAATGAAAAGCACACCTCAAATTATTAGGACTAGTTTAAAAACATTAAACTAATCGGATGCCTAACACACATGGTGGGTCCTTGGTAAACAGTATTATCACAGCTGTGAGTCAAAGTTAAGTCTAGAATGTCATGAAATAGCAGTTAGAACTCAGTATGTATTTATGTTGTTTAAACCAACAACACCATGACTGCTCCTCATATAGGCCAACCTGCAGAAATATTTATCTACTACTTAAAGACTAGCTGATTTTCAAAGGTATTATAATACCTACAAGACAGCACGTGCATTTGGAAACACACACACACGCACGCACACACACACACACAGGTGACAAAGCTGGGTCCAGGAAGGGTGGCCCAGGGACACCTTTCACATCAGTGCCTCCCTTCGCCTTGCCCTCCGTAAGCATCCATCCCACCGCCCCCCCTCCGTAAGCATCCATCCCACCGCCCCCCCTCCGTAAGCATCCATCCCACCCCCCCTCCGTAAGCATCCATCCCACCCCCCCTCCGTAAGCATCCATCCCACCGCCCTCCGGTATTCAAAAGTAAGCTTCGAGTCCCAGAACCCTGGGCATTTCTCAATTAGGAATACCATCTGAGAGAATGACTTATCTGAGGCTGCAGAGATACCCCAGCAATTAGAGCAATTGCTGCTCTAGCATCAAGACCAGAATCCCAGCTCAGGAAACCCCTTTAACCCCAGCTCTTCTGATCTCCTCAGGCCATCTCTCTCTCTCTCTCTCTCTCTCTCTCTCTCTCTCTCTCTCTATCTCTCTCTCTCACATACATTAAATCAATCAAAATAAATCTTTAAAATAATGTGCGTGAAGACAATACAGGCATGTGGAAAGTATAAACATGAAGTAACAAGTTTTAAGTACTTGGTTAAATATTCATGTATATTTATATACACAATGACTACAACTGTGTGAAAAATAGAGCATTTGCAGAAACAGAAAAGTTAATTATAAATGATAGAGGTACTGATTTATAAGATAACTATGGTAACAGTTGCTCTCTGATCTCTGTGTGCAAGGTATGGCACACACGTGTATGCATGGACACACACATAAATACAGTAGTGTTTTTAAGTATTAGAAAATAAAGAACAAGGGGAAGGAGGCAATAAAAGTAAGTCATCCGTGTAAAGTGCCTTCACAAGTTCCAGCACAGAGCCCTGTAGACCTTTCTTCTGCTCCATTCACATCATACATGACCCACCTAACCTGTGAGGCACCCTCGGAAAGTTAAGGGACGATGAAAAGACCGAAGAGAAGGTCAGCGTGAGTGAGTAAAGATCATACAGCAGCAGCTACTAACACACTCTTCAGATCTTGCAAAATATTTAAACGTTTGTGTTGTTTTCTAAGATTTGAAAATCTCCATGTATTTACATGGTTCGTTCTTACTCTTCCTGTTTTCTTTTTCTTCTATGTAATATATAATCATTAATAAAGTTTTTGAAATACTACAATTCAATACATTAGAAAAGCGAGTATCCAAAAAAAAAAAAACAAAAAAACAAATCCCAGGAAGAATGCTACTGAAATATTCCTATGTTGATTTGGGGCCATCCAAAGCTATTTCTCAGGGGCAGGAGAAATGCTATTTCCCAGGGGCAGTAAGAATATTTGCTGTGCAACCATGAGGATCCCATGAACCTTCATGACAAGTCAGACATTTCAGACACACCTAAAACCCCAGTTCCAACAAGGGTGAAGACAGGACTACTGGGGCTTACTGGCTTCTAGCCTAGATGAGAAAATTTAACCCACAGGTTCGGAAGACACTCTGCCTCAGTGGGACAGGAGAACAATGGAAGGACACTCAGCACCCTGTCCTGGCCCCCAACTGCACAAACAAGCACACACGCATGCAGACACACAGGTGTGCATACCCTTACACACACAGACACAAGTACACCCATAAAATATATCCATAAACAAATCTTTAAAAGCTACTATCCGATTGCCACCATACTAACTAGGAATAATGGCTTTGACTAAGAGAGTACTGGATACAAGTTTCTAATGCTCCCCAAAGTAGAGAGCTAAATAACTTTCACTGTATTCGTTTGTAGGGAGAAAGTCATAATCCTATAGTATATAATATTAATATAATAATTCACCTGCTGAATGAGATGCATGCACTTGGAAGACTGTAATCCATAAGCGTTGTTGACTACATGCGGAATGTCATAATTAGCACAAATCACAGCCAGTTCTTCTAATCTATAAACATAAACATTTACAGAAAGACATACTCATACTGTGCTTTATAAAGAATTAGGGAAAGTTTCTGTTAACAGTCTAAAGGTATATCGAGGGGAGGAAGAGGAGGGTGACAAACTGAATTCCCTCTGTAGTATCTTCACATGTAATTCATCAGCCTGGAAATACACAGCAAGCACTTTCAAAAAACTTAGAAAACCTCTTAATGTTTCCAATAAATAAATGAGGGAAAGCTATTTACAAAAGCTTATGACTTGGCAGGCAGAGGCAGGAGGCTCTCTTCGAGTTTGAGACTAGACTAGTCTACACAGCAAGTTCCAGGCCAGCCAGGCTACATAATGAGACCCTGTCTCAAAGAAAAAAAACGAAACAAAAAGTTTACGATGGTAACTTCTTACATACAAAGCACAGAGATTAAATGACGCCCCACAAAGCTGGAACCCCCCTCTTCCTGCTTTTGAGTGCTCACCACACTGAACCCAGTACTGACAAATAATAAGCATATCCAAAACTTAAATCTTAAATCTTAAAAAATCCACTTTCAAGGAGACCTTAATCTTGGAAGGGGGGATAAGCAGGGTAAGACCATAACATTTCCATACCGAAACTCACTGACATTGCCTAACAACTTGCACTTGTCATTTTAAAAGTTGCTGGCTTTAAATCTACCCTTCTTCACTCTTTCGTCTGACACCTCTCCTATAAGACAATCTGAATGTCTAATTTATGTTAAGCATGAGGTTCCTTCTCGAAACCCTGAACTACTTGTGACTAAAGCCACCTATAAAAAAGTCACATCCTGCAAGACTATAACTAAATCCTGTGAAGCAATTATACTGACTTTAAAAAAAAAAAAAATTTTTTTTTCAGAAATAGAATTTAGTAGCAAAGCATTTTTATGTTTCTTTCCAAAAGGTATGCAATACATGGCACAGGGAGGCAGAAACAAATGGATCTCCGTGAGTTCAAGACTAGCCAGTTCTACATGGTAAATCCCAGGCCAGTCAGAGATACACAGAGACCTGTCACAAGTAAGGAAATAAATGAGTGGTATGCATGATGTATCCTAGATGTGAACAAGTATGTTTTAAAACTGTACATGGGAATAAGATCATGTCCACTTGTCAGACTTCCAATTCCCTTCCTTTAAGTATCATGAATTGTGGTTTGGATAATAATGGCCCCACAGACTCATAAATGGAGCGCTTAGTCATCAGGGAGTCACATTACTTGAGAAGGAATGGGAGATGTGTCTCTGGGGATGGGCTCTGAGGTTTCCGAAGCTCTAGCCAGGCCGAGTCTCTTCCTGCCGCCTGCGGATCTCGACATAGACCTTGTAGCTACTGTTTCAGCACCAGGTCCCTGCCTGCCACCATGCTCCCTGCCACGACAATAAACTCAGCCTGACTCCGTAAGCAGGCGTCTTTGTAAGAGTTGTCATGTCACAGCGTCTCCTCAGTCAGCGAAGTGCTTGCCTTGCAAGCTGAGGACCTGAGTTCAATTCCACATTTACAAGTCAGGCGTGGCAAAGTGTGCCTATAATCCTAGCACCAGGCAGGCAGAGACAGGACGATCTCTGGGGCTTGAGCGCTGGCCATTCTAACCAAAGCAGGAAGCTCTGGGTGCAGTGAGAGACCCTGTCTCAGAGAATGAAGTGGACAGTGATAAAGGGAGACACCCAAAATCAACCATTGGAACACACACACACACACACACACACACACACACACCATACACACACACCATACACACACACCACACACACCATACACACACACACCACACACACTATACACACACACCACATACACACCACATACACACCACACACACACACATACACCACACACACACCACATACACACACACACACACACCATACACACATACACACCACACACACACCACACACACTATACACACACACCACATACACACCACATACACACCACACACACACACATACACCACACACACACACCACATACACACACACACACCACATACACACACACACACACCACACACACACACCACATACACACACACCACACACACATACACACACACACACACCACAACCACACACACACACACACACCACACACACCACACACACACACACCACACACACACCACACACACACCACACCACACACACACCACACCACACACACACATACACACCACACATACACACCACACACACCACACACACACACCACACACACACCACACACACACCACACACACACAACACACATACACCACACACACCACACACACCACACACACCACACACACATACCACACACACAACACACACCCACACACATACAACCACACACACACTCACACACACACACACACACCACACACACACACAACACACACCCACATACACACCACACACACATACACACAACACCACACACACACACACACCACACACACACAACACACACAACACAACACACACATACACATACACCACACACACACCACACACACATATACACACACACATACACACCACACACACCACACACACACATACAACCACACACACACTCACACACACCACACACTCACACACCACACACACACATACACACCACACATACACACCACACACACACATACACACACACCACACACACACACCCAACCACACACACACCACACACACATACACACACACAAATACACACCACACACACCACCCACACACACACAACCACACACTCACACACACACCACACACACACCACACACACATACACACACACCACACACACATACACACACATACACACACACCACACACACACCCAACCACACACACACACCACACACACACACACCACACACACACACACACCTGCCTCACGCTCAATACCAAAATTTCCTCTGTTACTAACAAACTAGACTCGGGACACACACAATTCTTCAGAAGATAAAAGACACTTTTTTCACATGTGCTCTACTGAAAGAATTCTCTGAAAACTTCTTCCTTGAAAATAAGATAGCATAATATTAAAATTATTTTTAAAAACAACAAACTTGTAAGTAACTTTTAAATGATCTACATTAATCAGATGTGTTAATAGGTCATAAAAAAAGGTATTACATGCAAGGCAAAGCAGAAAATCGTTTTCTATGTGAATCCCCCTGTATTCTAAATCAGAAGCTAATTTAATAGCCACCAGAAGTGACACTCCTTTAATATTTCTTTTACATGGGTTTCATATTCAATACTTCCCAATAATTGACCAATAAAAACAAAGTAAATGCTCTGCCGTGCCACTAAAATTAAGACTATAAAATCAGAAAATCAAGTATACCAACTTTACACAGACATTTTCATAAACCTCACTCATCAAAAGCATTCATTACATCACACGACTGATGAATAACAAATGACAACTTGCTTACTACTAAATCCTCCTGATTCTTTTCTAACAGGCCTATGTGGAAAACAGTGTATCACTACACACACTGAAAGCATGCCTCAAAATGAAATGAAACTCCCCAGAGAAAAACCATTCAACTAACACAACAGCCACACACTTGCTGTTTTGGGAAATGAGGTTTACTTCTATTCCATTAAAATTTTCTAGTTAATAACATTATCAATATCTTTAATATTTCGATAGAATTTTAAAATGATTGGTCATTAATAAACTACTATAGAATATGCAATGTAATTTTAAACAACATTCATAGGCTCATGAATGACCCAAGGCAAATTTTCAAGAGCAAGGCTTCAATATGATCTTTTAAAATTTGCCTGTAAGATAACAAAAACTAACATGTGATTATCACTGCCAAACCCTGAGTCTGTAAATACAAAAGCTTAGCAACCAGAGTCCAAAGTCAACACAACCCTTGTAATTATTAGCACTTCTGTTAAAGATGTTGAAATAAGAGCAAACCAGAGTTCTGGCAAAAACAGAAATTTCTGTTAATAAACTTAAGCCCTATGACATTTCAAAATCAAAATAATCTGCGGCTATCCTTTAGAAAATGGAACATCTGCCACCCCATGGTTTTAATTTTCTAATTTACATTATCTTCAAAATGTGGACAACCACTATACACATGTAGTTTAATCTCCCAGTCAAAGAAATATAAATAATCCTAAAATATTTTATTTATAATCTGTTCGTGGTGGTAGTTCCTACTTAGCAAAATGAATTGCAAAGCCAAAGAAATAGAGATAAGGAAAACTATTAAGCCGGCAATTCACTTGGAAAAGCTTAAGCAATGAGGAAAATGACTTACAACGGCAAGAGCAGGCGAGTTACACAGACTAAGGTTTGGCTAAGCAGACCTCCACCTCCACATCAGCTGTCTTTCCTTGAGAATCAAACTTCTCCAGCACACTACAGTAATTCTCCCTACAGTCAACCTATTCCCTTAGGCCAATATATTCACTACTTACTACCAAATGCTATCCCCACATGCTTGAGAATTGATGGGCATAACTTATTCCACAGACCGGTGAGCGAGCATCTAAAGACCAATGTTCACAAGTCAGTTACCTATCAGGCACCCTCGGAGCAAAACAGGATGTCGTGGAATGAATGCACAGAATATGGTCAGGCCCGAGTTCCCGGATTTTAGCCTCCACAGCATTCAGGTCAGTACGCAGCTCGTCGCCTTCCAAAACATTTTCTATCACCACGGGTTCAAAACCTAACCAAATCAACCAGAAATCTAAGCATTAGTGCCAATTAAGTGCAAGATGACTCTAGAACTCTAAGAGGCAATGCAACTGCATATAAGAACTGTAAATATTTATTTGAATGACAAGCTTTTCCTCTAGAAATAAAGGCGGTGGCACAGTGTGGTAGTCTGAATACAGCTGGCTCCCATAGGCCCATAGGTAGTGGCACTGTTAGGCTTTATGGGAGTCGGTGTGGTCTCGCAGGAGGAAGTGCGTCACTGTGGGGAGGGCTTTGAGGTCTCATTATGCTCCAGCCTCACCCAGTGTCTCAGAACACTCTCTCTTGCCTGGACACCAAGGTGTAGAGCTCTCAGCTACTCTCCAGCACCTCGTCTGCCTACATGTCACCATGCTGGTAATGGACTGACCCTCGGAAAGTGTAAACCACCCCCAATGAGTCATGGTGTCCCTTCATAGCAATAGAAACCCTGAGACAACCAAGGCTGGCATTAGTCAGAAACAAGTCGAAAGGGTGTGAGGGGCAACTAGACACCAGACTGCAGCTGTAGCACTTAGAAAGGACAGGGGCCAACCGATTCTCTAAGTAAGGAAAGCACATGTTAACCAGAGGTCTACAGACGCTAACTGCTCAAGTGTTAGTAACCAAAAAGACTACTACTCGAGTTCAAGTTCTTCGGAAAAAAAAAAAAAAAAAAAAAAAAAAAAAACTATGAAGCCTACTTATTATCCAGGAACATATCAGTTTCACTTGAGTTTACTTTATTCAGAGATAGATAATAAAACCCATGTATTGAATAGATCACACACATAAACGTTGTTTTACCACCAAAGAAAATTAATTTCAGTTGCCAGGAGAGCACTGATCCATCTCATGGCCCAAGAGTCCTTCAGATTTTTAATTAAAATATTGTGCTTAACTAGCACATAATTAAAGATCACCTCACAAATAATTATGTTAATTTTAACAGTAAATAAGTATACATAATCTTACAAGTTGCTAAAACAGAATGTGTGCTAAATTTTATGAGTACAATTTCTTTAAAGTATGAATATGGTGCATTTAATTTTTCATTTACCTATCTCTATATAAAAATCTTAAGTTTTCCCATTGGGTGTTTAAAACATTACAGATACTGAATGTCTTTTACCTGCAGTGACCATGGACTTAAAGCAGGACTTCTGGTCTATTCGTGGCCATATGATATACTTGGCCTTTGGTCTTTTGTGTCGCAATGTTAAGAAACACAAGGTTAGACTCATACCGGTTGCCATAGGAACTACAAAGCAATTGGCCACTGAGTGAACACCTACAAATAAGAAATAAAAGCAATTTATAATAATAAAACCAAACCAAACCAAACCAAACAAACAAAACAAAAAAAACAAACACCCTTTTGGAAGAAACCATACACTTCTTTTATAAAATAACAGGGACTGTAACCCTGGTGTCTCTTCCTCGGTTGTTATTTTCTGTCTTGTTCTGAAATAGGTTTACACGTGTGCCCTCTCAGAAGCCACTCATACTGTTTCTGATGAGATACAAATGGCAGAAACTGTGTGCTGTCTACTCATAAGTCACATTATAATCGACACGACACATACCAGCCAGCTTTATGACATTAAGCACCAAAGAATTGGTAATTTTGTTCAATAGGCTAGAGCCTGCGGCTTTCGGTTGCACAGCAGAAATATCACCAGATCGTCCAATTCCATGGATGAACCTAAGCAAATTAAAAAAAAAAAAAAAAAAAAAAAAAAAGGATCAAAAACTTAACAAATACATTCAGTGTTCAAGTAATCAATGCACAGGTTTGCAAATAAGCAACCAAAACCTAGCAGAGGCAATTTTCTGATGCTCTACGTATACTTCAATTATGAGCCAATGTGGAATAACCTCCAAAGACAACCGTATCAATTTATTTTCTCCTGTTGGTCCACACCTAGAGATAACCTAATCCTCTCATGTATCTGAATCCCTCTGTGGGGTGTCCTTACTGATGTGACTGACCGGGAAGAACATAAAAAGTGAAAGTGATTGCCTGGGGACTCTAGGTTCTAGAAGGTGGTAAGAAGCACTAAAGTTCATCAGATTTCTTGGAGAGTTTGCTAGTGTGCACTGTCTCTCAAAATCCAGCTGCCATGTTGGGAGGCGCTCTCATCACAAGAAGAGGCAAGCTGAGCTCCCAGTCATGGAACCAAGTCATCTTTAATAGACTGCTGGCTCTAAACATCAACAATGTCAAATGTCTTAGCCGACACTTGACAACCACACCAGAAACCCAAAACACTCAGCTGATGAGCTCAGTTAACACACCAAACGGGGAGAAACGGTGATGGTTTTAAGCCATTTAACCTTTGGAGTGACCCTTTTAAAACCACGGTACAGGGAAGATCTTATTCCCTCTTTCCTTCTCTGACCCCAGCAGTGGGACAGATTCGAACCTGAATGAACTGAAGCTTCAGAAACGGTCCTCATTTGCTGCTGGCGGAGACAGTGGTCTTTTGAGATGGATCTCACTGGGCAGCACTGGCCAGCCCTACACTGTGGGCCCTCCCTGTTTCTGGTAAGTGCTGGGATTGCAGGCAGTATCACCATCCCTGGCAAAAACTGTCCCAATTTTTTTTTAAATTATGTTTCTTGAAATTGAGTGTACAAACCCACTTGTCTTCAATGGCTCTATACACTTACAGATGCCTCCGAATGCTCTTTAAAATAAAGAACTAATCTGTAAACTCCATCTCGTATATTCGTTTAGGTGAGAAACTATATAAGGACAGGATCACAGCGCACTAGTGATGAGCTTCCTAACGAGCACACCTTACGCATGAGTCTTCTACACACATTATACACGGACCATGTTAACGGGGCACTGTTAGACAAGAAACCTACATCCAAACTCATTATCATCAGTTCAAACTGCCAATGTTTCTATTAAAACAAAAAATCTTAGTATGCCTCAAAAGCTGCACCTTGATTTAAAAATCAAAAGGTTTTTAAGAGTTCATATTTCTCACAGAAAGGGTAGTAGATGGAAATAAGCAATAATATCCAAAAGCACTACCAATAATAACTAAATCATTTTTGTCAGGCAGTAGTGGCTCATGTCTTTACTCCTAGCACTCAGGATGCAGAGGAATGCCTTGAAGAAAATAAATAAATAAATAAATAAATCGCTTTTCAGAATGGATTAAAAAAAACTTTTCAAAGCTAATGCAAATAAATAATGTAATTATCTAATACACTTGTTCCTCTATGGATTGCAACAACAACAAAAAGGCACTTATAAAATGGAATTTGGATAATGATCAACCAAGCTTTCAAGTTCATTGCTCTCTAATAAAACCTGCAAGTTAAAAAGGAAATATGAGCTGGGCATTGGTGAAGCACACCTTTAGTCCCAGCACGCGGGAGGCAGAGGCAGGTGGATCTCTGTGAGTTTGAGTTCAGCCTGGGCTACAGAGTGAGTTCCAGAACAGGCTCCAAATCAATACAGAGAAACCCTGTCTCGAAAAACAAAAACAAAAAAAAAAGGGGTGGGTGGGTGGGGTGAGTGGATTTATGGCTAGGTGTGGTGGCACACATCTTTAATTCTGCCAATTTCAGAGACAGGAGCAGGTAGATCTCTATAAACCCAAGGCCAGCATGATCTATATACTGAATTCCAGAGTCTTTTAAAACTAAAAAAAGAAACTTTAAAAAAAAGACCCCCCCATTAAACATTCTACAGGGCTGTCTGAACTTCTACGATTCCAGAACCAGAGTGTCTTCCCTATGTGTGACATGTCACCTCCGTGACTATTAGGTAAATCCTTGTGGAATGGATGAGACTCTGTAATGGATCTCACCTACCCAAAGCCTATCCGGGGCTTCCAACAGGACTTCCTTGCTTTGCTGTAACTGGGCCTACCTCCATATTTCTACGAGTGTATTTTAAAAGTGTCTTAGTCTATTTTATTATAAGAATTTCATGAAATTTTTACCCCAGAACATATTTGTGTCACCTGTCACATGTATCTCTAGAGTAACTCTTACTCCTTCCGAAGTAAACTGTGGTTTTGGGGTTTTTTGGTTTGTTTTGTTTTTTCTATTGACAATATTAACCTTTTAGAACCAAACAGATCTACTAGTTTAAACATTATCAAGGCACAGCGCTGTTGATCATCAAGCGTCCCAAAGGGAAACTGACACCGCACGTCGGAACCTCAACTCTGTCACGAAAAAGCACCTGCTCGGAGTTCCCGTCTCCCAGTTCCAACTGGCTTCCATGCCCACTTGCAGAGGGAGGAACTTATTTACGAGTGAAAACTTCCTAAGGTCCTCCCACACCCACAAGGTAGGTGTGTGTGAGTGTGTGTATGTGTATGTGTGAGTGTGTGTGTGTGTGTGTGTAAGGTCCTCCCACCCCACAAGGTAGGTGTGTGTGAGTGTGTGTGTGTGAGTGAGTGTGTGTGTGAGTGTGTGTGAGTGTGTGTGAGTGAGTGTGTGTTTGTGAGTGAGTGTGTGAGTGAGTGTGTGTGTGTGAGTGTGTGTATGTGTGTGTGTGAGTGTGTGTGTGTGTGTGTGCGCGCGCGCAGGGGGTTTCAGAAACCAACGTACCTGTAATGACGACGAGCAACCAAAGCAGAGGCCACTCTCCCTTCCCTCTCTCCCACACCACAATTACCCAAGAAATTGTTGCTGTCCATGATCGCGAGCTCATGGAGAAAGAGCTCAAGCGTACTTTCGTCCCAGCCATCGTCTGGACACTTGCCCTTAAAGAAATAATAATAATAATGATAACAACAACAACAATACTAAACAAACCGCAATGCTATTTATACTCAGGCAAAGCACCGTTCCCCAAAAGCCCTCCTCAGTGGACGTGAACTTTTATTTTACTTTAGTGGGTTTGGCTCAGGTCGCACACACACCCAGCAGCTACGGATCGCTGGCAGCCGAGCGACCTCGCGGGGACGCGGCGAGCACAGGCGATCGAGCGCTACAAACCCAAGTCTCGGCGACGCCCGGGCGGCCTGTGGGTCGGGGCGCGTGCGGCGGCGTCCCCGGGCCGGGCGCCGAGGCAGGGGCATACCTGCTCCAGGAGCTGCTGCACCAGGTGCTCGTGCGCGCGCCGAGCCTCCCGGCCCTGCCTCACGTACGCCGGCGACACCCGCCGCTCGCCCGCCGCGAAGCTCTCGGGGTTCATCCCGGCGCCCGCCAAACCCACGCCCGCCGGGGCGACCCAGGATGCAGCGCGCCGCCCGCGCGGGACGGGGCGGCCGAGGGCCCAAAACACCGCAGGCCGCCGTCCTCCTCCGGCTCCCGCTTCCGCGCCTGCGCAGACGTCCCCCGCGCACCGGGCACACGCAGCGCGCGCACACCGCAGCTCAGCATCACCTGGGAAGACGTCGCAGGCCTTGAGCATTCCTGAGGGAGTTGGCGGGCTCCGTGGAGGAGAGCGTTGCCAAACGCAGCTTTCCGATCTGCTCCGGTCCCGCTCTTTCAGTCTAACCCACACTGTGTCTGACTGCAGAAGCTAACACCCACACCTTGATGCGTTTCTGCGTTTAGAGGAAGCCCTGCACTCCTGTGGCGAACTTGTCTCATGATACTCACTTTTTCTATTTTTTAACCCCCCATTTCAAATCGTGCAATAATCTGTGATAACTGCATCCTTCACCCTACTGTTGGAGGATGAGCCAAGTCCTGGAGCTTTCTGTACTTCATTTGGGTCTACACAATCTCTTTGGGAACCCTGTAACTACTATTACTTGATTATGAACATTGTATCTTTAGATGGAACAATTCACAGTATACACACACACACACACGCACGCACACGCGCGTGCACACACACACAACACACATCAGCAAGAGAGCAAACACGGCCTACAAATGCTACGTGACTGTGCTGTGTTTGAGGGGAGAAAACTTCCTCATCTCTGTTGGAACCCACAACCAAAATGGACGCGAAGTTAAGGGGCTCTGTGATGCACCCCTACCTCTTAGGCTGGTAGCCATATAAAAACAAAGGCTCGTGTGAAAAGAAAGGGTACGTGGAAAATAAGGAAAATGTTCTGAGAGATCACTGTGCCAAACCAGACTCCTTGCCCCTTAATAATCCTTGACCATATAAAGGTCACAGCTCTTCGGCCACTCAAAGACTCCATTGTACAATACCACTGCTGAGTCCCTTGCCCTTGGAAAGAAAGAATGGGGGGATGTGATTGGACCTTTAACTGAGTTAATCTCTGACCCCCTCCCAGGACAGTTGCTTGGGGCTATTAGATAACTTCAAAGGATGTCACATGTCTTTATGAAGCCACTCATTGTAACATAGACAAGCTGCTTACTCTCCCAAGTCAACATTAGCTGTGCAGCTTTACAAATATCACTGAGGTTAACTGAGAATCATGTGTAATCTGCCTAAATATAGTCTAGGAAAAATCTAAATAGTGCCCTGAGCCATGACCTCAGTAGCCTTTTTTACCATTTTTTTAGACTAATTTTTTTAAAAACAGCTTTTAGTCATTGTATGTCTGTTTTCAGGGTGGTCTACAATATTTCCTTGCCAAAATCTACAGCCTTTGAAGTCACTGAAAGGTATTTGATTTTGTTTTAACCTGGGTCAAAAGAAAAAGAAGAAAGGAAGGAAGGAAGGAAGGAGGAGGAAGGAAGGAAGAAAGAAAGGAAGGAAGGAAGGAAGGAAGGAAGGAAGGAAGGAAGGAAGAAAGAAAGAAAGAAAGAGAAAGAAAGAGGAAATCCTGCTGGGCAATGATGGGACACACCTTAAATCCCAGCATTCAGGAGGGCAGAGGCAAGCAGATCTCTGTGAGTTTGAGGCCACCCTGGTCTACAGAATAAGTTCCAGAGACAGCTAGGGCTACATACAGAGAAACCCTGTCTTGAAAATAAAAATAAAATAAATCTCAATAGTGACCAAGGCACATACTTTATGCAATTACTATTGTAAGGCATTGTCCCTTACTTAACTGCAATTCTGAATAATATATAATCTTTATGGAAAACTACACTGCCTTTGAGCTGAAAGGACCAAGAACATCCTCATATTTAAATTAGTGAAACTTTAAGATTCCTTGGCCAAAGGTACTTCCATTTCCACAAATCTGTATGGCTGTGTACTCCCTTACCTTAGGGACACATGGGTTATTTCCTATGAATCATTGGCTGAAAAATCTGTGAATTAGAGATTTCACCTCTAGTAATAAAATCTGCCCTGCCACAGTATATATAATGAAATATTGCCATGCTCAATACCTAGTCCTATTGCCAGACCACTGCCCTAGTATTCCCACAACACCTTCCCATGCAGGCTCTTCATCCTGTTCCTCAACGAAGACAGTTCATCTCTTGGAAGAGAGGAGAGACTGTTCTCGGGCCTCACTGGAAGGAATCTCGCTTAGTACAGTTAACATCAAATACAACAGTGGAATTCCAGAGTCAGTCTTTCACAGCCAGAGAAGCAATGCGGAGCAGCTACTGCAGAAGTCAGCAGAAAGGTTCCCCCAAAACATTAAAAATAGATAGAGGCTGGGCCAAGGAGCGCATGTCTTTGATTCCAAGCACTGGAAGGCAGAAAGAGGCAGATACCTGTGAGTTCGAAGCTAGCATGGTCTATATGGTAAATTCTAGACCAACCAGAGCTGTGTTGTGAAATCCTGTCTCCAAAAACAAAGAAAGGCTAAGAAGTAGTACTGTAAACCTGCCACAAAGACACCGCACATCACACCGATAACTGCACCAGCCGGAATATTTAAGAAAGTAAGAACAAGTGTATATGTCCATCAAGAAATGAGTGGGTAAAATAAATGAGTGTATATATATATACCTAGTAGAATTTTATGTGGGCATACAGGAAAGCTAAATTATAACATTTTCATGAAGATATATGGGGTTGAAAACTATTGTTGGGGGGAAGACAGATTCAGAAAGATAAATATTCATGTCTCTCTCCTTTTTAGATCATAGATTTTAATTTTTACAGCTATGCATATGTATGTATGTATATATATGTATATATGGAGGGGGTAAATATGGAACAAAGAAAGAGATCATGAAAACAATAACAACGAAAGAACTCTTAAGAGGGAGGTGTTATGGGGAGACCACTAGAGAAGACAGTTTATAGAAAGTCTTTATTCCAGCTGACTGGGACTACACTCAGGTATGGGACCCACGTGTAGCCCCAAGTGTATAGAAAAAACACCTTCTAAAGCTAAAACCACATTGTGTTATTTTGCTCAGCAGCTGCAGGGGAGGTTTTGCACATGCAAGCAGTTTAACAGAAGCCAAGGTAAATTTGCCAGGACGTCTTGGCCTCAAGTACCTAAAATAGACTCAGGTAATTTTCCATAGGATTTTCCATCAAGGAGATCAAATTCTAGCCAAACCCAAAATGGCCTCCTCAGTAAGAGTAGGAGATGGAGGAACCTTTGCACTCTTTCCCTGGCACAGAGGTAGAAAAGTGGGTAACAGAATGCATGCACCATGAAGCAAAGAAGGCTCTTGGAGGAAGGGAAGGAACACCGAGGCGGGGAGGCGAGGGATGGAGGAAAGGGGAGAGGAGGGAGCTCAAGAACAAAGTATGTATGGAAATACCAGAATGAAACCCACTTGTTCGTGTACTAGTGTGTATTTTTTAAACTCATGGAAGAAAGCAGAGCAGAATTCTGTCAGAATGAACGGTTAACCTGACAAGATACTTCGAACAGGATTTTAACGAGCTCCTTCAGAAACAGCCCATCTTCTAGAGCTATAGGCTACACAGGACCTTCAGAACGAGCTAAGGACCTCAAAGCAGATAGCTCCCTTTCCAGGCCTTAAACCAAGGTCCCCATCTGCTTGCTTTAGCTATAAGAGCTGCTCACCTCCTTCCCTTCTCATTCTAGATAGACCTTGGCTTTTGGCTTCTTTCCCTTTTATTCTCGTATTGGTCTGGGCCAGAACATTATTATTCTAATGCCATTCACTCCCCTAAGTCACAGGGAATGCCACATGGGCCATCTATTACTAGCCCCAATGATTGAAACACCCAAGCAGTTTCTGCCTCATCACAGGAGAGGGGAGGGAGTCCCAGCCACTGGCGATCACACTTGCAATGCCATGAACAAGTGGCCATAAACGATTCAGCATAATCGCCTCTCTATGTCCATCACTCCCTGAAAAGAGAAGATATCATCACAAGACCGATCAGACCAAGGGTGCCTCTGAATTTGAAGTCAACAACCTTAACAGGGCCAACTGGATCAAATCCCTGCCACCGGGAAGTGACTGGCTGAGAGCCAAATGTGGCTCTGGGCTGATATGAAGCCTTGGTTTCGACCTTGGGTCATGAGCCCCCACTTCCCCCATCCCTGACTCTCCCTGTGTCCCGGACTGAAACCGCTTTCTATTTGGAGAGGACCCTGAAGGGCTCTAGCAGGCCCAAGCATGGCAAATGTGGCTCTGGCCGGTCTTACCCTCCCCGATTCCCTCTTCCTTGCTAAACCGTGAGATTACATTCCAACGCTAGCCACCAAGGTCTGTGCATTTGGCCACTTCCTCTTCCTGAGGCCGACCACCAAGGTCTGTGCATTTGGCCACTTCCTCTTCCTGAGGCCGACCACCAAGGTCCAACCGTCAAGCCACCCAACCAAAATTAACCAACTCACCCAACACAGGGGTTTACTCTTCATAAACTGCCATTTGTCTGTGGGCCTTTTCTGGCTTCTCTCTATTTGGAGACAGTCCTCTGAATTTGCCCCTCCCGGGACAAATACCACTTCCCTCCCTCCCCTTTTTCTCTTCTCTCCCTTGCCCGCTGTTCCCTTATTTGTCCCTCTCGAGACGCCTTCGTGCTGAAAACGTGGCCTTGGTTGTCCTGTGCCGACTGCTCAGACACCCAACCCTATTTGCTTCATGACCATACTCCTTGCACGGTAGAAACGCTACTCCAAGGTATGTCTGTAATATTTTCCTCCTGTTCCAAATCAGAATCGGTCCCAAACCTAGCACGTAAGACGCCGCACTTCTGGGTGGAGCTGGGGAGGAAGGATTGTAGCAGCTGGAGGGGTTGAGGACAGGGGAACACAGCCTGTAGAACCAAGCGGGACTCAGGGGCTCACAGAGATTGGAACAAAAGCACGGACCCTGTAAGGGCCTGAGCCAGGTCCTCTGCGTATACCTTATGGCTGCGCAGCCTGGTGTTCTGTGGGGCTCCCAGCAATGGGAGTTGTTTTTACCTGCACTTGCGATCCT